TGAGGCCCTTCCTGGGTGCAGAGTCATGATTTGCAGCATTAGTTATGACCCTCAAATTGGCTTCACTCCTTCCCTCTCCTCTTTCCTTGTTCCTCACTTCCCTGGCATTATGCTGTCTGACTAATGGCCCAGGCCTCTGCTCTCCCGGGGCCCAGGCAGAGATGGCACTCAACAGTTTTGCTGAATGAATGAGACAAAAGATGGTCCTTAGCCAGGGAGCCTGCCTATTCCAGCTGCTCCCTCTGACCTTGGTTTCCTACCTGATCCCGAGTCTTGGCCCATCAGGCACTTGTTTGTCCAGATCCTGGCTCCTGACAGGCACTTTCCTGGCCTTTCCCCTTGCTGGTCTCTGCTGGCTGAGGTCTGGAGCATCCCTCACCTGCTTACCAAGTCTTCTGCAGACACTTCCTGGTAGCATCTCGAGCTTTCCCAAAACTCCTCAGTCCTTGCTCTGGGCAACTTGTGGCCCTGACAAGAGCCCACCTTTGTAGCCCATCAGTATCCCCAGAATTAGGAATTGGTTCTTTGTTGAAAGACAGCGGGTGATGAGCTCATGGCCTTGACATCAGACCTTCCCCTCACACACTTTGGAGGTGAAGCCAGCTAGTTATGATCCTACAGTCAAGGCAAGGTGAGCATATCTGTGCTCACTCAAGTGCCCGTTATTCACCAATGCCTGCTCTGTGTGTGGTCAGGCCCATGCCAGGTGCCAAGTTCAGTCTGTCAGGTACTCACTGTCTGGAAGAAGACTCAGGTGGAGGAAGGAAGTAGACACTTTGGGTTTGTGTCACCCTACCCTCCAGGCCACAGCAAACTACCAGTTCTTGGATCTTCTGGGGAAGCAGAGGGGATACTTGGGGAGTGAGGCTTCATCACAGGGGAAGGAATGATTAGGCCAAGGCTACCCACAGCCATTCCTCATCCCCATTGTGGTCCAGGCCCATCTATGAACTAGGGAAAAGTTTTTACCAGGCCATACAAAGTACAGTGAGATTTAATAACTGAGAGATCAAAGAACTGATGTCTTGCTGTGGCCTGGAGAGTATTATGCATCACTTCAGGCGTCTCCTGCTTCTTCTTTCTTCCCTGACTCCTCAGATACAAGGGCTGAGGGTAGCAGCCAGGATAGTTCCCCTGGGTCTCTGAAAACAGGTCTGCAGAGAGCCAGGTCAGGGCACTCAGGTGCCCATGCTAGGCCTGACTCTCCACCCTTGAGGAATTTGTGGGTGTTGCTCATCCTTCATTTCTCTCTGTTTCCCTGCACTCATTACCTCGAGTTCTCCCCACTGTCCCATCTGTCTCTGACCTCTGTCACCCCTGCTCTCCTGATTCTCCTTCTCCTCCCTCTCCAGCCTTGCCAGGCCAAGTGTCTTACAGATTCTTCTTCTTCGTGCTGTCCCCAACCTATCCTGCGTCTTCATCTCCTCTCTCCCTGGGCAGAGTCCCTGTCCCCATCTCCTAGACTCCCTGTAGGCTGGGCTGATGATTTCCATGTCTCAGCCACCACCCTACTGTCTCCTCTGAGAGACCAGCACTTGGCTAGCACCTAGCGGGACCTGGATCCCAATATTCCCCAAGCTGATCTTATTACCTTGCCCAAATCCCTGGCTTCTTTTACAGGGCTCCTAATCTGGGGGTGGTACTCTTACCTCTCCAGCCATCTAGGCTGGAATTTCATGCCTTGTCCTGACTACACCTTTCCTCTACCTCTCCCATCCACCAATCACCAGCCCTGTCAGTGTCAGCCTTGCCTTCGTGTCCCTTTGCTGTGTCTTCACTTCTTTCTCCTTTCCACCATGATGCTCTGAGCCGGCCTCCTATCCCCGTCCCAGGTCCCAGCCAAGCCTCCAATCTCCTGACCACTCCTGTTTGGCCTAGCAGCAGAGGGGTTTTCCTCCACGGCCAAGCTGATGTCTTTGCTTGGCTCCACTCTTCCAGTTGTGCCCTGTATCTCTCAGGATTAAAATCAAACAATTCAATTTGGCACCCAAGACTTCAAGGATCATCTCTTGCCTCTTTCTCTAGCACAGCCTACCTTTTGGCTTTGGGCTGTACACCTGGGGCTCTGTCTCCATATTCCCCAAGGAGGCTCTCGGATATCCAGGGCCAGGACACAGAAGTTCTGGATGCAGGAGGGGGATTCCAGTGTCCAAAAAAAAAGCCAGTACCCCAAGTAAAGTATGGGATGGTACTTTGGTGTGAGCCACAATTTCCTGCAAATTTGATCAATATGAGTCAATTCTCCAAGACTGCCTGTTTGGATTTAGCAAGATAAAATCTAGATTTGGACCTCTAGGTCCTAGATCAGTGATGGTGAATGTTTTGGAGACTGAATGCCCAAATTGCAACCCCAAACCCACTTATTTATCACAAAGTGCCAACACTGCAATTAAACCTGAATATCCGATGCTCAGCTGCTGGGGCAACTTGGCTTACCTTCTGACAGACAGGGCTTGGTGTGCCTGCTGTGGCACACATGCCATAGGTTTGCTACAACTGTCCTAGACCACATCTGGTCTAGCAGGATGTCTATCCCCAATGGGCCATCCCTCTCACAGCCAGGAGAAACACAGGCACACTTTAGACTGGGGACTGCCCCTAGGGAACAGTACTGAGCAGGACAGCTCCTGTGTATGAGTACTTATTGAGTACCGGGTGCTCTGATACACATTTGAGGCTTTATCTCATTAAATCTTCCCATGAACTTTGGGCAGAACATGCCTCTATTATCCCCATTTTGTAGATGTGGAAATAGAGGCCAGAGAGTCTAGAAAGCTTTCTTACTGTCAGCTGTGTGCCAGGCCTGGGCTTTGAACCCATTTCTGTCAGATGCCACAAGGGAAAGACTTAAGGCACGGAAGTGAGTAGAAGGTGTCTGAGGGAGGGGACTGGAGATCCAGCAAGAGGAGGGGATGGAGAGCACTGATGTGGAAGCGAGGAGGGAAGATGGATACAGCATTGCTGCTCTGTCTGATCATGTCTGTTGGCCCCATAGTTCAAGGTCACTCGGAAAGGAGAGTGTGCCAGCAGGAAGGAGATGCCTTTCCAGGTGCTCTATCTTCTTCCACAACCTGGCTCTGTGGGAGGCCATGTGGCATAGGACAGAGGCCAGCAAGGTGTCAAGGAAGGACATTTTAAGTCCTACTCATCGGAGACTCCACCCAGGGCCTCTAAATGGGCCTCAGGGGTCAGACATTTACAAAGGTGGGTATTCATCATTTTTACGCCTATGTTCAGACCCCTAATAAGAAAGTAATAATATTGCCAAGTCTTTACCACGCTTTCTACGAGCTAGTGAGAAGACTAATTATCTGATGATACTAATAAATGGTTATGATGTTATTAAAAATGGCACCAAGCTAGGATTAATAGGCTCATCAATTGTAGGGAATTGGGTTTAACAAGGTCCCCTGCATGTCCCATCAGGGCTCATGGCCTTGATGGATACTGGGCCTCCCCAAACACTGCCCTGCTACACAGAGGCCATGTCTAAGGCTCCCTCCTCTCCCCAGCTGAGGGTCAGCTCGGGAAGCTCTGGCTCCTGCTGGAGTTTTCTCATCACATTTCTTTAAAAAAAAATGGCTCTTCAATGTTTGAAGGCCACTGGAGATGGGGTGGGGCACAATGACCTCTGACGTCCACAAGACCCCTCCTCCCCAGCCCTGCTGTCCTCTGCAAATGCCAGGCTCAGAGCCCACCCAGGGCTCAGTCTCCAGGCCCCCACTCCTAAGACGCAGGGGAGCGGGTAAGACGGCTAAGACGGAGGTGCTGCTGGAGCCTACTGACTAATTTCCATAATAATTACAGTTATTACTAATAGTGGTGACAACACCACTCCCTTCCATTTATACTGGATTCCAAGCCTGGGAGCTGCTTTCCCACCAGTTGTCTCCTCTGAGCCTCACAACAGGCTGGGAAGAGCAAGGTGCAGGTATCATTATTCTCACTCTCAGGAAACTGGAGCTTGGGAGACAAAGGGACTTCCTGAAACCCCCACCCGCCTCTGAGAAATAACTGGGAGGGTAAAAATGTAAACAGTAATAGCACATCCTGAGCCTGTGTTTACTGCCTAGTACACGTACACTCATTTAGCCTGGATAACGATCTTGGGAGGTAAGTCCTAGTCGTATCATTCCCCTTTTACAGATGAGGAAACTGAGGCACGGGGAGGGGAAGAAGCTGTCCAGGAGCACACAGTAATGAAACGGCAGAGTGGGAACTAACCCTAGCCCAAGCCTATGCTCTTTATCACTAGCCTGTCTCCTAACAGTCTCCCTAGAGCTCTATTGCCAGCAGCCTGGGATGCGGCCACTGAGACAGGCTGTGGCTGGGCTTCCACGCACCGAGCTCTGGCCTCCAAGGTGTCCATAAGGCAGCTACCCCAGACAGGGGAGGCGCCTCACAGAAGGCCTGGTGTGCCTGGCTAGCCCAGGGAGTCCAGCAGTAATAACAAGTCCTAACTACTGTTGGGATTCTGGGGCTACAAAGACGGACTGCAGGAAGCCACCTCTGCCCCAGCTCCTGGGTCAGGACAAGCCCTCTGGAGAGGTGACTGCCTGGGGCCACCTAGACAGAGGCTCCAAAGGCTACTACTTTGAATCCAGCTCCATCGCTTACTGGCTGGGGCCCTTCACCTCTGTCTGCTTTTGCCTCTGCATCTGTGAAATGGGTGTCACTGACGGCCCCTCCTTCAGTGGGCTGTTCTAAGAAGTGAGAGGTGGAATTGAAGGGGTCTGGAACAGATCAGCTCCTTGCCTCCATGAGCTTCAGGATGATTAACATACCCATTTCACAGAACAGGCCGCTGATCACAGAGGTCAGATGAGTTGGCTGTCACCGCAGCTGATAAGGGAAGAATTGGGACTTGAACCCAGGGCAGCTTCTCTCTATCTTCCTCCCAGGGCCCTGCCTTCTGGGATCCCTGCCCTGATGTGCAAACAGCCCCTTACCAAGCCCTGGGGCCCTTGTCCTCCTCCCCTGCTGCTCCCCTCCCTGCTTACGTGATCAATGAGCTCCTTGACCATGCCGTTCCACTGGCCCTTGTCGTCCTGCGCCCCATATTTGCCATCCTCCACCAGGCGGATCTCGTACGAGAAGCCCAGGATGTGTGCCAGCTCCTTGAGCAGGTCGATGCAGTAGCCCTCGAATCGGTCATTCCCGTATAAGGTCCGGTCAGACTTCCGGAACATGACAAAGGGCTCCTCCTGTGGGGACCGATGGAAGAGCAGAAGACAAAGGCTGAGTGAGTGGTGGGAGCAGGTGTGGGCTGGAGAATTGGGGCTGGATCCTCCACTCTTCTTTTTTTAAAAAAAAATATTTGGAGGGGCCGGGGATTTAGCTCAGTGGTTTCGCCACCTGCTACGCAAGCACAAGGACCTGAGTTCGATCCCCGGCACCAAAAAAAAAAAAATATTTGGAGTGACTTAGATGAAAGGTCTAAGGGAACTGGGGTGAGGGAACTCACACTTTTTGAGAGCCAATTTGGGGCCCTGCAATTGCAACCTACTGGCAGCCCCTGGTTCAAGGTGGGGGTTCAGTTGGTTTAGTTGTCCAGTGGTCACAGAGCTGGTAAGTGGTGGAACAGGGATTTGAACTTGAGATTGTGGATTCTAAAGCCCAGCTTCTCTCTGCTGCACCAGTAACCAGACCAGGGTTCTCAGAGTATGGTTCTTTGTTCAGCAGCATCCGTATCTCAGAACTTGTTAGAAATACGAATTCCTAGGCTTCCTCCCAGACCTACTGAACCAGAAACCTGGGCGGGGCCTAGCAGCCTGCCTTTCTAGCCCTCCAGAGAGTCCTGGCATCAGGTCAAGCTGGAGGATGTGGCTGTGGAGAGCCCTTCATCAAGTGTCATCCCAGCTTCTCCTTCAACTCCTGGCTAGAGATTAGATCTACACACTCCTGATACCATTGTTTCCAAGGATCTCCTCTGTTCCCACATTAGGATCTGCCAGGTGAGTGATAACTGATAACAGCTCCATTAGTATGTGGCTGTGCCAGGCCTGGGAAATTAGCAAATGAGCTAATGCCTGCACAGGGCTGTGCACAGAGCCCAGCAGAGCACTAGCACAACAGAAAGAAGCTGGTGTTGCCTTGTTTAACCTTAATGTCGACCCCTCAGGGTAGGTACTAATAATCTCATTTTATGGATGCAAGAAGCAAAGTTCAGTAGGACGAGTGACTCGAATCAGCTTACCCAGCAGGCACTGAGAGGGAATCTGAACTGGGGAGGGGGTTGACCCCAGAGCACAAATTCTGGGCCAGAGGTCCTGAGCCCCATGATGCCTCTCCCTAAGGACAGGTGATCCTTAGGAAGTGGCTTGTGGGGCCAGGGACATCTATCCTGTGTCAGATTTACCTGGTTAGGGGCTCTCCTTGTTCTAATGATGGAAAGCCTGAGAAGGGCTTGGAGTAGGGAGTGGCTCTGCCTGACTCCTGAGTCACAAACATTCCCTGTAAAGATCCTGTGAAGATTACTGGGAGGAGAGGCAGAAAAGCCAGCGTGGGAAGAACCAGGTTGGCTTCATCCAGGTTGGCTTCATCCAGGTTGGCTTCATCCAGGTTGGGATTCACAGAACAAGGGATGATGGGCTCTAGCATGGTATGATCCAGGCCCACAGCAGGGTTCCACAATCCAGGTCAATGCGGAAGTGCATGTTCCTGCTGGCCCTACCTGGCCAGACCCACTTAGGAATTCCCACACTAAGGGCTGTGGTGGTCCCGCTGAATTCTCATAGTGAAACTATTGAGTTTTCACTATGGACCAGGCACCAAATCTCACGAGTTTGCAAGGTAGGTAACATTATCCCTATTTGCTAGATGAGGAAACTGTGGCTCAGGGAATGAGACATGAATACAGTTTGATGAGGTCTAGTTCAATCTTCCCCAGCCAATCAGCACCTTTGCCTGGCTTTATTTTCCTTTCTGTCCCTTGATATCAGATCTCCCTGACTTCATCTGCTTTCCTAGATCTCAAATTCAGGTTCAGAGCTGTATCCCCATGCTGTATCTGGACCACTGTTGTCCTATTTTGACTTATCAGGGCCTCCTTCCTCTGCCCCTTACCCTGTTCCAGCTTGGAGCTCCTCTGCCCCCTTCTGTTGGCCAACCTTCCCCAGCCCCGCCTTGCCACTCTCACACTTCAGAATGCCTGAAGCCTTCAGCTGATGGGTGACAGCCATTAGCTGACAGAAAACATGTGTCCTGGGAAGCCAGTGTCCACTTGCCCATGACAAGTCTCAGCCTTAGCTATGGAGGTGTCTCTGTTCTCTCCCCTGGTGAAGCTATTCTCTTAGCTCCAGGGAAGACCTTTGCTGGAAGTCCTTGGGAGCAGAGACCTACCAGCGGCCACCAACAAGACTCCTGCTGCAGCAGGCTGGCTCAATTCTTTGGCCTGGGTTCCCTACATTATCTCTCAAAAATCCCATCTCCTCTGTGACTGATTCTTTCAGGAGTCCTTGGGATGCTTTAGAGAAAGAGTCAGGGAGTATCTGAATTCCTAAGGGGTTCCTGACTCTCTAGGGATTCTGAGAAAACCACTTCTTAGTCCAAGTGGGTGGGAAGCATTTTTTGGCTGGTCTCCATGCTAAATCTCACTGCCTCTCATCCTACTCTCTAACCCTCTAACCAGGTAGGCAGTTTGCCAAGGTTGAGAAGATGGAGTGGGGGCTGCTAGAGGAGGTGCCAAGGCTACCTCCATGAGAGGACTCTCCCTTTAGTCTATGTACTCCTTCATGCCAATTAATCTGGGGGCAGATGCTGCCCCACACCCCGACATAAGGCCTGGTGAGCAAGTCCTGGGTGGGATTGCAGTCTAAACATCCTTTTGGCTGATGCCTGTTATAGTCTAGATCTAATTGTCCTCAAAAAGTCTTATGTATTCAGGATGGAGTTTGTGGATTGTAGGGGTGCTATTCCTGTCAGTGGATTAATCCACCATACACTTCATAGCTGAATGTGCTGTTAGGAGGTGAGGCCTGGTTGGTTGGAGGTGAGTCACTGGGGATATGACCTGGAAGGGTGTATTCTTGTCCCCTTTTCTCTCTCTCTGGTTCTTGGCTGCCATGTGTTGAGTAGATTTCCTGGCCATGCCCTTCCACCATGCTGTTTCTGTGTTGGAGCCGGCCAACCATGGACTGAACCCTCTGCAGCTGTGAACAAAAATAAACCTCTCCTCCAAGTTGCAGGTATTAGGTATTTTGTTCCAGCAATGGGAAACTGACTAATACAATGCCCTTGTGCAGTGAACAAGTCATAATATTGTACCTGCTAGGCCTAACTTTATTTAGCTCAAGGAAAGAATTAGAAGGTACCACCAACTACACATAGATTCCTACCTTGTTCTGTAAGATGGGGGTAATAATAGAACCCACTCTAAACAGTTACTGTAAGGATAAAATGAGCCAGCCTATGAAAAACACTTAGTCACTGGCAAATGTTAACTGTCAATATCACCTTCCTCCTCCTCCTCCTCCTCCTCCTCCTCCTCCTCCTCC